CCAGCGATTTTTAATTTTTTCATTTTTGGGAAAATATACAAAGGCTATAGCCTTTGTGTTTTTAGCGAAAATTGATGGGTCCGGATTTCGACGGAAAAGTAGTCGAATCGACAGGGGAGAACCAGGGGACCACAAAACTACTTTTGGTTCCGTCAGAAACCACCCCTGTCCAGAGAAACTTAAGTTTTAAGGGTGGCCTTTTGAATCTGGCGGTCAGCGTACGATGGGCTGCCTACCTCGCAGGCAAACCGGTCCAAAAACAGGCGTATCTCACTTAAAATGGCCCGGCGGCCTGAAACTTCGACGCAGAGATTGGAAAAGGATTCAGTCTGACCAATCCCAACTATTTCCAGCGATTTCAAATTTCTCATTTTTGGCAAAATTTACAAAGGCTATAGCCTTCCTATTTTTAGCGAAAATTGATGGGTCCGGATTTCGACGGAAAAGTAGTCGAACCGACAGGGTGAACCAAGGAACCACAAAAATACTTTTGTTTTAGCCAGAAACCACCCCTGTCCACAGAAACTTGAGTTTTAAGAGGAGGTCTTTTGAATCTGGCCGGCAGCGTACGATGGGCTGCCTACCTCGCAGGAGAACCAGTCCAGGAAAAACAGGCGTAACTCACTTGAAATGGACCGGCGGCGGGAAATTTCGACGGAGAGATTGAAATGGGGTGCTGTCGAACCAATCCCAACCATTTCGAGATATTTTCATTTTTTTTTTCATTTTTGGCAAAATTTACAAAGGCTATAAATTGATGGGTCCGGATTTCGATGGAGGAGTATTCGAATCGACAGGGGTAAACCAGGCACCACAAAACTACCTTTGTTTCTGTCAAAAACCACCCCTGTCCACAAAAACTTGAGTTTTATAAGAGCTGGTCTCTTTAACTAAGGGTGGGTAGGCTACCTTAGGCCCACTGGCTAAGAACTCTGCTGTAGTGGGTTGGCACCATGATATTTAGACAGAGCATGTGAAAAGGGAGTCTGCCCTACCAATCCAAACCAATACCAGCAATTTTCCAAATTGCCAAGATT